CCCCCGCCGCTTCTGCTGGCCAGTGCCGACCCAGTCGGGCTTGCCCCGTCCCCAGCAGCACCTGGTAGGCTGGCTTCAGCCGCATGCTGCTCCGGATGGGACAGACCCGCCCAGGTTGGCACTAGCCCGCAGAGGCGGCAGCGGAGCCGTGTGCTGCTCGGGACTGACTGGCACAGGTAGGGGGAAAGTGCAGCTGAGCCCCTGCTGCTCTGGCTGGGCTCATCCTGTCCCAAGAGGCACACAGCTACTCCTCTTCCCACATGCACCGCCTTGGCAATGCCAAGCTGATGCGGTGTGTGTGGGAACCTTGTCCCTTCCTCAGCCCTTCAGCAGCCATTAGGAAGCTGCTGAGGGTCTAGGGGAGGGACAAGGGGTGGGAACGAAAGTAAACTGTGTTTACTTTCATTTCCTGTTGCACCACTGCGGACCATAGAAAATGCCTTGGCGGGCCATATGTTGGACAAGCCTGGGCTAGATGATCTGTTCAGGTCCCTCCTGACCCTAGCTACTATGATACTATGATTTAAGGCAGCCTTGCTGACCCTAAGCACACACACAAATTAGGAGTCAGGCTCCTAAACTCATGAGATTGTTTTAAGAAAAGCATGAGGCTGTTTAATGTGGGGAGGGGTCTTCTGATTTGCTTTCTGGCCTTTAAACCATTGAGGCTAGGTACACACATTACACTTTGACTGGCGTAAGTGATATGAATCTGGTTTATACCTGTAACAGAATTGAGCACACAAGACTTGTCTATACCCATAACAGAACAGAAGTTCGGCAAACAGACTTAAAAACAACAGAACCCAATCTAAGATTTGTTCCTCTGAAAGGGCGAATGTGTGTTGTGTTTGCTCGCTACCCATGAAAACTGCGCCGCTTACAGAAAACCGTGTAACTTGGATTGATTCTGCCTTGGGCTTTTTGAATGTCTCTACCTAGCCTTAAAGTAATTTCTTCCCACTTCTTTCCCCTGCCACCTGAGAGCTTTCCCCACTGAAAACCAGGGGCCTCAGGTGATCTCACGCCTTCAGCAGCTGCAGCTTTAAGGGGGGAAAAAACGGAACTACCTTGAGCACTGGGAGAGTTGGCAATCC